CTATTTTTTTAAACCTACATTTGAAAAATTCACACTGGACTTTACATCTATAAAGTTTGTTCCAATAATAAATGTATGCTCGAATCTTTTGCATCACTGTGTTGCTCTATGTTTTTTCTTTAGGACAATCAAGTACATTGAGATTTTAATAACGAAAATTTGATAACGAAGTTTACGTCCATTGATTTCTTCACCACAATGTTGAAATGTTACTTTTCGTAACAAAACAAATCTTAAATGTTATGTATTGGCATTTTTTTTKKTTTTTCCAAAGTTTTCTAGTGGTACAATTCTTCACAAAAATATCATTCAAACACCAAAATCAACAAATCTTTTTATAAATCCATTTAAAAAAAGAAAAAAATTATAATGGGAACGTTTTTATGAAAAATCAAGAGAAAATCATTTGATAATCAAGAATAGCTCTTCTTCGACTCTTCAAGATAACATTTGAAAATTTAGGAGCATTGTTGTATCGATAGTTTTCTATCATATTGTGTCACAAGTTTTATTATTTTGGTATCTAGACATTTGTTTAGCCAGTAGCTTCATGTCTAGGAGCATATGCTTGATCTCATTTACATGACAAAAAAGTTAAAACAGTGATGGAAAAAATTCAATCATAACCCAGAAATGGTTATAATTAATATAGAAACTCAGGCATATACATGAAGCATAAAATGTTCACCAGTGTCCTCTCTTTTGAAGTGTTATACAGCATTTCCAGTTCAAGAAGTAAACTGTCCATCAATAAATATATATTTATAAACCATAGATCGTTGATATGACATACCATAGTATCTAGATCAGTTCGTACCAAAACATACTCTTTAAAGTCGGAGTTCCCTTGCAACAATGAGTAGAGGAGTAACATAGCGCCCTCATCAGCCAAGCACCTATATTGCCAAATTGCATTATTACCTAGTAGCAAAGAACTTATCATAGAACACAAAAATCTTCGGTAATTATAGAAAACCCACATCAAATACGAAGGAATAGCTCTCTTTTTAGTTTCC